TTGACACCTTCACCCCTGGCCGGCAGCGTGTGGCGATTTGCACGTGCTCCCAGACTGGTCGCCACCTGGCCACGTTCACTCGTGCGCCAGGATCCAGTCTGTACACCCTCACCACTGCGTCGCGCTCCGCCCCTTTGTCTCCCCAGTTGCACGCTTCTGCTCAGGTTGCTACATTGTGTGAGTGTCGCCGGCTGTCGCACGACACTCTCCTGTGGCACCACCGCCTTGGTCACCCCTCCCTGCCTCGCCTTCGTAGCATGCATTCTCGCTTCCTTGTTTCTGGTCTTCCCAGGTCTCTGCCTCCCCTCCCTCCCTCGCCTGCGCCGCCCTGCATTCCTTGCGTCGAGGGGCGGCAGCGCGCCGCTCCTCACTCCTCCTCGTTCCCTCCCACAGAGGCTCCACTGCAGACTCTCCACCTGGACGTGTGGGGCCCAGCCCGCGTCCGTGGACCGGGCCACGAACGGTACTTCCTGCTGGTTGTCGACGACTACACGCGTTACACCACGGTCTTCCCCTTGCAGCGCAAGGGGGATGTCCCTGCTGTTCTGATCCCCTGGATCCGCGCTACTCGTCTCCAGCTCCGCGAGCGGTTCCAGACGGACTTTCCTGTCCTGCGTCTGCACTCTGACCGAGGTGGTGAGTTCTCCTCAGACCTCTTGGCAGCCTTCTGTGCGGAGCACGGCATCCGCCAGACTTTCACGCTTCCGGCCTCTCCGCAGCAGAATGGGGTTGCTGAGCACCGCATTGGCTTAGTTATGGAGGTCGCTCGTACCTCCATGATCCATGCGGCTGCCCCCCATTTTCTGTGGCCGTTTGCGGTCAGGTACGCTGCGCATCAGCTCAACCTTTGGCCCCGTGTCTCCTTGCCGGAGACCTCGCCCACACTGCTGTGGACGGGGAAGGTTGGCGACGCGTCGCGTTTCCGAGTCTGGGGTGCTCGTGCCTTTGTCCGCGATACCGCTGCGGACAAGCTCTCCCCTCGCGCCATTCCTTGTGTCTTCCTTGGCTTTGTCCCTGACGCGCCTGGCTGGCAGTTTTACGACCCCGCCTCGCGCCGTGTCTTTGCGTCTCAGGATGTCACCTTTGACGAGTCGGTCCCCTTTTACCGCCTCTTCCCCTACCGCACTGCTCCTCCCCCCCCCCCGCCGCTCTTTCTTGCCCCAGGTCCTCCCCAGGTAGACCCCCTCCCCGCGCCAGGTCCTGCTCCTTCAGGTGTCTCTCAGGTAGACCCTCCCGCGCCTGCGCCTGTTGAGGTCACTGGTGACTCAGGTCCTGCTGCTAGTGGTGATGTCCCTGGGGGTGCGGAGCTTGGGGGTGCTGAGTCTGGGGGCGCTGAGCGTGTGGAGCCTGGAGGTGCTGAGCCTACGCGTGAGGAGCCTGGAGGTGCTGCGTCTGGGGGTGCTCCGTCTGGAGGTGCTGCGTCTGGGGGTGCTGAGCCTGCGTGTGCGGAGCCTGGGGGTGCTGATTCTGGGGGTGAGTCGCCTGAGGGTTCTGAGACTGCTGTTATGCGGTCTCCCTGGAGCAGTCGTCTTCGTTCGCGTGTGCCCCTTACCTCCCAGCAGCTGCACGACTGGTACGGTCGCCGTCAGCGTCGCACTTCTGCACCTCTGGGCTCTACTGCTGGGGGTTCTTCTGCTGGTGTCGCTGGTCCCGGAGGTGCTCGTACTGGGGGTACTGGAGCTGCTGGGGCTGGCGGTGTTGCTGCTGGAGGTGCTGGAGGTGCTGGAGGTGCTGAGGGTCCTGCGGTTGCTGGCGGTACTGGACCTGCTGAGGGTCCTGGAGCTACTGGCGGTGCTGGAGCTGCTGAGGGTCCTGGAGCTGCTGGAGGTACTGGAGCTGCTGGAGGTGCTGGAGCTGCTGGTGGTGCTGGAGCTACTGGTGCTGGTGGCATTGCTCAGCCGCGCCTGTTCTTCGCTCCGCCGTCCCCGTCGTCTCAGCCACCACCTGACTCTGCACTTCGCCAGGTTCTCAGTCTTCCCTCGTCTACTGGTCTTCCGTTACAGCCTGGCTCACCGCTGCCTGCTCCTTCTCCGTACACAGAGCAGACTAGTGGCCTTGCAGAGCGTCGTGAGCCTGCGTCGCGTCCTGTCTCACCTGTCCGTTCTGGTCGTTCCGGTCGTCGTGTTCCTAGTCAGAGACAGCCGACTGTCTCCGACCCTCACCTTGTAGTTCGTCGTCCTTCCTCTCCTTCGTCGCGTGTTCCTCTGCTGCCTCCCCCTGCGTCCTCTCTGCCTGTCGTTGCTGACCCTGCGTCTGACCTGTTTCGTGCTGAGCACTCTACTGTCCCGCGTCTGCTTGCCACTGTTGTCACTGACCCGTCATTTGAGTCTGCTGCTGCGTCTGCCTTAGTCGCTGAGCTTGTTGACTTTGCTGCTCACTGTCGTCTAGACTACGCCGCCAGTCTTGTTGCTGAGTCTGAGTCTGTCTGTCCTCCGTCCGTCGGGGGTGAGTGTGCTCTTGGCACGGACGTCCTTGAGGACAGGCAGGAGGACCTTGAGTGTCTTGCAGCCGCTGCGCCTCATCTCGTGTCCATGCTGCTTGCCCCTGAGGGAGACCCGGATGCACCAGACATCCCTACCCCGCGCTCTTACGCTGAGGCGATCGCGGGTGAGTACTCCTCTCAGTGGCAGACAGCCATGGACGCAGAGATGGCATCCTGGAAGTCCACAGGCACTTACGTTGACGAGGTTCCCCCTCCTGGGGCGAACATTGTCAGTGGCATGTGGATTTTCAGGGTGAAGCGGCCTCCAGGTTCTCCGCCTGTCTTCAAGGCTCGTTACGTGGCTCGAGGCTTCAGTCAGCGAGAGGGAGTTGACTTCTTCCAGACCTTCTCCCCCACCCCGAAGATGACCACTCTTCGGGTGCTGCTGCATGTTGCCGCTCAGCGTGACTACGAGCTTCACTCTCTTGACTTCAGCACAGCCTTCTTACAGGGCAGCTTGCACGAGGAGACCTCGCTGCGCCGCCCTCCTGGCTTCACTGGGTCGTTCCCTCCTGGTACCCAGTGGAGCCTCCGGCGGCCAGTCTACGGTCTCCGCCAGGCGCCCCGTGAGTGGCACGACACACTGAGGACGACACTTGCGGCTCTTGTGTTTGCTCCGTCGACTGCTGACCCGTCGCTGTTTCTGCGCACCGACACTTCGCTGCCGCCGTTCTACATCCTCGTGTACGTCGACGACTTGGTCTTTGCCACTGCTGACACTGAGGCTCTCGCCCTGGTGAAGTCGGAGCTGCAGAAGAGACACACGTGCACAGACCTGGGTGAGCTGCACAGCTATCTTGGCTTGCAGATCACTCGGGACAGAGCACGCCGCACCATCACACTGACTCAGTCACACATGGTGCAGCAGGTCCTTCAGCGCTTCGGCTTCACCTGGTCCTCAGCACAGCCCACTCCTCTGGCTACAGGTCACTCGCTCTCAGCTCCACCTTCGGACGAGTCCGTAGAGCCGAGTGGTCCTTACCCAGAGCTAGTGGGCTGCCTCATGTACCTGATGACCTGCACTCGTCCTGACCTTGCGTACCCTCTTGGTCTTCTGGCTCGCTACGTGGCTCCAGGTCGGCACCGAAAGGTGCACATGGATGCTGCTAAGAGGGTACTACGCTACTTGTGCAGTACATCGGGCATGGGGCTCGTGCTTGGAGGACGGGGTGACGTTGTCCTCACTGGTCACTCGGACGCCTCTTGGGTTGACGACCAGGCTACGCAGCGGTCGTCACAGGGTTACACCTTCAGCCTTGGTTCTGGTTCAGTTTCCTGGCGTTCTACACGTTCGTCTTCAGTTCTCGGCTCCAGCTGTGAGGCCGAGATCTACGCCACAGCCATGGCTGCGCAGGAGCTACGCTGGCTCACCTACCTGCTGACCGACTTGGGAGAGCGGCCTCGTTCTCCTCCAGTTCTGTACGTCGACAACAAGGCCGCCATCGCCTTGTGTCAGGAGCACAGACTGGAGCACAGAACAAAGCACATCGCTCTCCGTTACTTCCTTGCTCGAGAGCTGCAGCAGCGTGGCCAGCTTCGTCTTACTTACGTGGCCACTCGGGCCAACACTGCTGATATATTCACCAAGGCGCTTCCGCCTGGTGATCATCGGCGTTTCTGTACTTTGTTAGGCCTTGTGCCCACGCTTCCTCACTTGCTGTAGGCTTTGTTTGAACTGTGATCTATATGTATACCTGCATGCTTGCTCTTGTAGGCTGATATCAATGTGCTGTTGTTGTTACACATATATCTCTGCATGTGAACTGGCCTTGTGGCCTCTTGCTTGTGCTCAGATTGCGTGGTGACGTTGTGATCCACCCTGAGCTTGCTTTGCATTTCCTGTCTGGCCTTGTGACCCTCTGTTCTCCCCCACTTTGCCTATGGGGGTGTGTCAAACATATGTTTATATGTTTAAGTTAGATAGGCTATAGTGGGGTACTCACTGTGGGGTACAACCCCTTAGATTTTTCTTCTTGTACCAACACTCTCGATAGTTGAATCATCCATTGCCTAGCCTTTCGACAATGGCATGAGACAGTGCAGCCGAGTAAACACATGTAACGACAAATTGAATGGGAAAATAAATTACACAGGTTGCTTGCGCATCCATATGTCGTGCCAGAGACATCCATCCATGTGATGTGAACAATCATATCATGACTACCGTATCTGAAATCACAAATACAAATTCAGCGTGCCTGGAAGGGACTACAACACATTGCGGTAACCCCATCATCACGGTACCGTAGCACACTACCAAAGCCTGAATCCAATTTTTTGCAGCCGGTCGTACCACTCGTGTAACAGCAGCGAGAGCGGCAGCACAAAGAAGTAGAGAATGGGTCTTGAGGAGCCTCAGCATTTACCAAAGCCCGAATCCAAATCGTTGGCGCCGGTCATAAAAATCGTAGAAGAGCAGTGAGAGCGGCAGCACAAAGAAGAAGAGGATGAGGAAGGTGCGCTGGCTGCTGCTGCTGCTGTGTGCCATTCCCTCTGATAAGCTGTTGTATTGCTTGTCCTACCAGAGCCTGAACCCAATCCATTGCCGCCGGTCGTACCAATCGTAGAAGAGCAGTGAGAGCGGCAGCACAAAGAAGAAGAGGATGAGGAAGGTGCGCTGGCTGCTGCCGTGGGACGCTGCTTTCTTCAACTCTTTGCTGCCCTTGTCTATTCTCTCTGATGCTGCCACTGCCTGTTGATTGAAAGGGCGCGAGCAACAAAAGGACGGCAGCACAAAGAAGAGGATGAGGAAGGTGCGCTGGCTGCTGCCGTGGGATGCTGCTTTCTTCAGCTCCTTGTTGCCCTTGTCTATTCTCTCTGATGCTGCCACTGCCTGTTGATTGAAAGGGCGCGAGCAACAAAACGGAGGCAGCACAAAGAAGAGGATGAGGAAGGTGCGCTGGCTGCTGCCATGCGCTCCTGCCTTCTTCAGCTCTTTGCTGCCCTTGTCTATTCTCTCTGATGCTGCCACCGCCTGTCGATTCAAAGAGCACGAGCAACAAACAGGGTGGGCAAAGGAAAAGAGGACGAGGAAGGTGCGCTGGCAGCAGCACGTGCACGGCAAACAGGTGGTTCAGCCTTTACACTAGTAGCTGACTCATTACCATGTACAATACAAACCCTTAAGCAGCGCTCTCACCTCAGCATACAGCTGGTGAACCTGTTCGCTCTGCTGCAGCACGTGCACGGCAAACAGGTGGTTCAGAGCCGCCAGCTCCATCACCCTCGCCTCTGTCTGCGCCGTGCTACTCAGCAGCCCCCTCAACTCCTCCTGCAACGCCACCGTCTCTGCATCCTGCATTGCCTGCTCTCGCCCCCTCCCCTCCTGCTCTCGCCCCCTCTCGTGCTCACCACCCCTCCCCTGCTGCTCGCAAACCTCTTCCTGCCACCCCTTCCCCCCGTCCTGCTCCCCTCTGTGCCTTCCATTCTCCCGTACCCCCTTCAGAGCATGAATCAGTCCCTGCTTCCCTAATGTGCCCTGTCCTCCGCCCTGCCCTCCCCCTTGCCTCTGTCGCTGGCTGTCTGCCAGCATCCGCTGCAGCCGGGTGGATCTCAGACGCTCGAAGGTGGAGGAGAGCAGCTGCAGGTGCTCCGTTAGGATGAGCACCTGAGGCAGGAGGGGGATGGGAAGGGGATGGGAGCGGGCTGAAGGTTAGAGGAAAGAGACAGGGCAGAGTGAGAGCCGCTTGTGGGGCTTGGTGCCTCGCAGGCACTCGAAGGCGGAGGAGAGGAGCTGCAGGTGCTCCGTTAGGATGAGCACCTGCGGGGAGGGATGGAGGGACAGGAGGGGATAGAAGCGGGGCCGAGTGAGTGCATGCCGTGGCTCGCAGACACTCAAAGGTGGATGAGAGCAGCTACAGATGCTCTGCTAGGATGAGCACCTGAGGCAGGGGGGGGATGGGAAGGGGATGGGAGCGGGCTGAGGGTTAGACGAAAGAGACAGGGCAGAGTGAGTGCCGCTTGTGGGGCTTGGTGGCTCGCAGGCAGTCAAAGGTGGATGAGAGGAGCTGCAGATGCTCTGCTAGGATGAGCACCTGCCAGCAATGTGGGTGTGAGGCAAGAAGGAGAAGGGGGGGATTGGAGGATTAGACGAGAGAGACACAACACAGGGCCGCATAGGTGCCCCACCCCCTGTCCTCCGCCCTGTCCTTCCCTTTGCCTGTGCCTCTGGCTGTCTGACAGCATCCGCTGCAGCCTGGTGGCTCGCAGACGCTCAAAGGTGGATGAGAGCAGCTGCAGGTGCTCTCTTACATGATCACACACACACACTCACCACGCCATGCTGATGTGCTGTCAACTGAGCGTTCCGCCCCATGGCCCTTCCCGGGTGCTGGCGTGCTTTCTCTGCAGTGCGGCAGCAGCGGCACTGCACGCATGCATGCATGAGCACACACCACCGCATACTCACCACGCCATGCTCATGTGTTGTCAACTGCGTGTTCCGCCCCATGGCCCCCCTTGGTGGGGGCGCGCTTGTGCTGCGGTACTGCACAGCATGCATGCATGCATGCATGAGCACACACCACCACACACTCACCTGAGCACACACCACCACACACTCACCACGCCATGCTGATGCGCTGTCAACTGTGCGTTCCGCCCCATGGCCCCCCCTGGTGGGGGCAGTCTGCCTCGCAGCGCCTCTATCCCCTCCTTACACTCCTTCACCATGAGTCCCACCTGCACGCACACAGAGAATGGGAGGAGGCGGAGGGAAAAACGGGTTTAAATGGAGGGATCACCAACCTTCCCTCTCCTGGTGGGGGAAACCTGCGTCGTAGCGCCTCTATCCCCTCCTTACATTCCTTCACCATACTGCCCACCTGCACACAAAGGCTGAGTATGAAAGGAGAAAGTGCAGTAAGAATTGGAAGAGGAACGTGGGAGTTGAAGGGCAGTCTTCCTCTCAGGCAGAGTTGGAAGCGCCTCTATCCCCTCCTTACATTCCTTCACCGTGCCGCCCACCTGCAAAAAAGGTGTTTTTGCGACGTCTCAAAAACACCCTTTTTTCACGTGCCGCCCACCGGCACAGCACACACACAGAGAATGAGAGGAGACCCCGAGGCTGCTATGTTCCACATCACCAATCCCACGTGACTGCCAGAGCACAACAGGGCTAAGCACGGAAAGGACAAGTGTAGAATTAGTGTAAGAATACACCTACTGGAGGGGTTTCGTGCTGAGCAATATCAAGGCACGGTATGGGGCCAAGGAAGTGAATACAAGTCAAGGTCAACCACATTGTTTAATCTGAGGCCACTTGCAGTTTTCCTCCCCTCACTTCCTTCCCCTCCCTCGCTTTCTTTCACCACAGCCACATTCACTTGCCTGCCTCTCTGCTTCCTTCCCTTCCTCGCTTCCCTTCCCCACACTCAACTTTACTTGCCCGCCTCCCTGCTTTCATTTCACTAACCTGTGCTTCAAAGGCGTCTCTCCGTCTCTCGATCACCCCATGCCCAACCACGTGGTCCCACGTTGCAGCATTCCTGCCCCTCAATCTCTTTCCTTCGCCTTTCCTTCCCCACAGTCACCTTTACTTGCCTGCCTCCCTGCTCATGCCTTCGTTTCACTTACCTTTGCTTCGAACGCGTCTCGTCTTCTCTCCATCACAGGATGCCCAACAACGTGGTCCGAAGCAGCACTGCAATATTCCCGCCCCTCGCTCATTAGGACGGAGTGCAGCGTACGCTCGTCCGATAGCTGATTCAGAGGAGGGATGAGGGGGACGAGAACGACCGGGGGTAGGAGTGGGAGTAGGGGAAGGGGGAAGAGAAGGGCGAGGGAAGGGGGCGGAGGAGGCGGATAGAAGTGGGGGTCGGGGGAAATGTGTGGAGGGGGTGAGGGGTGGGGAGAAAGGCGTCTCGGCTTGTAATCGTGGGCAACATTGCATCATTCTCTTCCCTCACTTAACAATCAAGGAAGAGCAGAAAACGCTCGACTCACAGCTGATTCGAGTGAATGGAGGAGGGGAAAGAGAGGAGGGCGGAAAGGGAGGGTGGTGGGGAGGGGCGTGGGTGAGTAAGGAAAGTGAGGGGTGAAAAGGAGCACATCGAGCACGTGGTTTGAAACGGAGTCCCTTGACAAATCACCCTTTCACCTCCCATTATTCCCTTCTCCCTCCCTCCCTCCCTCCCTCCCTCCCTCCCTTCACCAATATCTCCCCCAACCCCACCCTCTTTGACACACCCCCTTCCCCCCCTCCCCTCCTCCCATCCTCCCCCTTCCCCCCTCCCATCCTCCCCCTCCCAACGAAGCTTCCGCCTCCTCCCCGTTCTCCTTCTCCCCGCCTTGATAAGGCACACACACCACGTCAGATGCCAGCTTGGCGAATGCGTCCTTCGTGGAAGCTTCGCCGCCCCCCGAGGTGGGTTTGAGCAACATGGCAGATGAGACCTGCGCCAGGCGAGCCTGGAAGGCGGGGGAGACAGAGACAGAGGGAGGAGGAGAGGTGGAGCGAAAAAATATACGGAAAAGGGGGGGAACGGTTTGGAAGTGGAGGAAAGCTAGCTAAGGGGAGCGGTGGAACGCGGGGAAAAATGGGGGATAGGGGGGGCGGAGAAGGGGGAAGGGGAGTGGGGGGGAGGGGGAAGCGAGAGAGTGGGGAAAGTGGGAGGTGCTGTTGCCACGACAAAGCGCAGAGTCAGAGAAATGTGCTTAGACGTTCTAGGTTGAGAATGCAAGACGGGAATTCCACGCGAAACTAAGAAACGTGCCAACGAACTTATTTTGCGCACCTGATCGTACCCAAGCCGCACTGCGAGAGACTTCACCGCATCGCGATAGTCTTCCGTTCGATCTACGGCCATGGTACCGTGAGATGCCTAGATTCCGACCAAGTTCCGCGCGAACTTGAACTACCGTAACGCGTCTGAGATACCGAAACTGATCGAGACACAAGGAAGACGAAGATGAGTGGTTATTCTGGTTCAAAAAGGAATGCTCTTCCTCGATATTGTCAATTCCGTCAATTTCCTCGCATCCAAAATGCCGTTCGACAGAAAATTCTCCGTCGATCTGTCCGCCTTATTGAATAGATTCGGGGTAAGTAATACTGAGTGGCGATTACTGGAATAGATTTGTGTGAGAGGCTTTCCAATCCCGCCTTTGGGTTTAGGCTTTCCAAACACTCTAAGGCTACCCGCGTTATTAAATTTCTACCGCTGACAAAAACATTTTCAGGGCCATAAAGTGTTTCGGTATGTTTAATTCAGTGGAGTTAATGAGAGCAATGCTGAAATTTAGAATCTCAATACAAACTAGAACAAACATTAACTACTTACAGCGCTATTAAAACTTCAACGTCATCTCAACAGCTATACATAATATCGGCCATGCAGTTTCATATACTTCTACAAATATATGATAGGGTATGTAAGCTGTCGAATTGTATGTGAAGGGTTTGAGATTTGTACACTGCAAATTGGCTATTGGGTCCACGCCAGCCCCTGAATTCGGCTTGCTGGGCTACCTGCTGATTCAGCATGGGCACGGTTGACATGGCGCGAGCTTTCCCAGAACTGAGGGTGACGTCACACTGCTCTGGCACTGTCCCAGATCCACGTGTTGCAGTGTCCTCATTTCCTGATGGCTGGCTCCCAGGCTCACCAATTTTCCGTGGCGATTTCGAGGGTGTTCCTGTGCTGCAACGGAACCGTTACAGGGAATGCTTGCTGAACACTTCGTGATCTGGTGGTTCATCCTGGCTCAAAAGCTTCCAGTCGTGGAATTCAAAGGCCTCGTGGTTCCATAAAGCTTTGCAACTTCAAGGCTTTGCTGTCCCGCCATTCCTATTTCATTGTCAGTCGTCGACATACCGTCAGCTGCCTTTCCTCTCACTGTTCGATTTTCGCATCATGGAGAAGGCACGCCTTAGGCAGCAGGTTATCGCCGACCACTTGAGTCCTGGTCCGGTTTTTCAGCGAACCGATTTGGTATGCTATACACGCTTTAGTTCGATGCACTTTCCGTAGTGTCGTTAGTTAAGAAACTGAATCTGACCTAGCGGAATTAATGTTACGCAGGTTGCGTCCCCGTGCCTTGCTGGGGACAGCGCGGCGTATGCTCGCACTGCTGGCTATGATGACGATGTCGTAATTGTCAGGTGAGATTTAGGAAAGTCCCGAGATTACTCGGTCTTGTATCTTTTTATTCTTCTTATTCCATCGGTTAACGACTTTGCGGCTTATTACCAACATGCTTTTTGCTGCTGTACAGTGCGCGTCGCTCGGCCCTTACAAAGGCCAAACGTGGCGCCTTTAAGGACACCCTTCCGGATGACATCCTGGCGCCGGTGCTTAGGGTCAGTGCATTCGTTTTTCATCCAAGCATTTTGCAAATTATGATAACCATCTACGACATTTTATGCAAATTAAGATAACAATTTACGATAATCAAGTTATCTAGCACCTTTCACTTCTCGTTTCACGAACCTAACATTCTTGACTTTCATGCTTACCAGGCTGTTGTTGATGAGGCTGGAGTGAGGCCAGAGGAGGTTGGAGATATTGTTGTGGGAACTGTTCTTGCTCCTGGAAGCCAAAGAGCGAGCGAATGCCGGATGGCTGCTCTTTTCGCTGGCTTTCCTGGTGAGGAAAACTACAAGCTGCTTGTTTCATTCGGTGATACCTGTTATTTCTGTTTGTACAGCTATAAGAGCATGTTCTTTCCCCCGTGCAGATACCGTGCCTGTGAGGACGGTGAACAGGCAATGCTCGTCTGGTCTTCAAGCGGTTGCTGACGTGGCTGCGTCTATCAAGGCTGGATATTACAAGATCGGTAAGTGATACGAAGTTGCAACAGGACGTTCCAGTCTTCTTGGGCTTGGTCGTTGGGGGGAATACAAACATGTAACGCTGAAACAAGTAGCTGTGTTGAACTCGTGAGCAGGCATTGGTGCTGGGTTGGAATCTATGACTGTCAACCCTATGGCTTGGGAAGGGAGCGTCAACCCGAAGGTAAGAGATAAACCATATGCAGTTTGTTAATTTATTTGAACAGAACATTTCCAAGCTCAAATAAGTGATGTTGACTGCAGGTTGAGATGAACCAGAAGGCTCAGGATTGCCTTCTGCCTATGGGGATCACATCAGAGAATGTTGCTGAGCGATTTGGAGTCAATCGGAAGGAGCAAGACGATATTGCGGTGAGTGGAGTCTTCATTTCGTTTTTCAGGGTCAAATGAGAGTCCACGAGCAGCAGTTGACATTCACGATGCTTTTTTTCCACAGGTGAAGTCTCACAAGAAGGCTGCAGCTGCAACTGCTGCTGGAAGGTTTCGTGATGAAATCGTCCCCATCAGCACCAAGGTAAGTGTTCAATTACCAAAATAACATCGAAGTGTGCCTCGGTCAGGCTTCAGGACATGGCCTCATTCATCAACTCCCTTGGGTGCCTTTCAGATCGTTGATCCGAAGACCGGTGATGAGAAGCCAATCGTTGTCAGTGTTGATGATGGCATTCGTCCCGGAGCTACCATGGCTGACCTTGCTAAGCTCAGGCCAGTCTTTAAGAAGGATGGAACAACCACAGCTGGAAATTCCAGCCAAGTGAGCGACGGTGCTGGAGCGGTGCTGCTGATGACCCGTGGAGAAGCACTTCGTCGAGGAATCCCCATCCTTGGAGTTTTCAGGTGTGTACATTGCCAAGCACTACATGAGGGTTGATAAGCGCTGCACATACAAGCGGCTGGTTCTGGCAATAATGGTCTGCTACATGTTCATCTGTCTAGCCAGTCAACTAGCGCGCCTGATTTCCCTCCGTTATATTAAGTCCCCTGTCTCCCTGATCACCCAACCATGGGTATGTTCCTGTTTTAATGTAGCTTCTCTCAAATTCTGACTTTCTTGAGTTTGCATCGAATATCTTCCACAGGAGTTTCTCCGTCGTTGGAGTTGATCCTGCTGTTATGGGGATCGGGCCTGCGGTCGCCATCCCTGCTGCTGTCAGTGCAGCCGGATTGGAGGTCGACGACATTGACCTGTTTGAGATCAACGAGGTGAGCAATGGTGCAACTCGCATGCATTTCTGGAAGTGGCAGCCATGACTTATCTCAGCTTTCTAAGCTTCTGCTTGTTCTTAAAATAAATGTGTTGATGTTTAATTTTTGGTTGCTTTCAGGCATTTGCTTCCCAGTTCACCTATTGTGCTCGCAAGCTTGAGCTTGATGAGGAGAAGATCAATGTGAACGGTGGAGCGCTTGCTATTGGTCATCCCCTCGGAGCCACAGGTTAGTAAAGTGGCATGCACATTCTAGGAAACATTTGTTCTGCCTAAATGACATTTCTTTGATTCGCTGCTTTGATAATTGTTTTGTTTCTGTTACAGGGGCACGGTGTGTGGCAACGCTCCTGCATGAGATGAAGCGACGAGGAGTTGATTGTCGATTTGGTGTTGTGTCCATGTGCATTGGTGAGTGCAGTCAATTTCCAGTTAAAACTTTGTTGGTGCAATTCCAGCTGTGCACTTGTAGAGGCCTTACAAGCCTTGTTCCTCACCATACTCTGTCATCTGTATTGCACTGCACTGTTTCTGTGACTTCCAGGAACTGGCATGGGTGCAGCTGCTGTCTTCGAGCGTGGTGACTATGTATGCCCTCTCACCAATTCCCAGCAAGCCTGACTTCCATGATATTGACAGTGTTCCACATGTGGAGGACGAGGCCACTAATAGTTTGATGGGACAAAAGGCAAGGTTGTAGATAAGGTTTTGTGTGCTTATTCTACCATATTCATTGAGATAGTTCCACAAATTTCTTCAAAGGTGTTGTACCCTACCCGCCTTACCCTGCAGTGGTCGTATAGGAGTGACTGCTACTTCAAACATACCATAGCAATGGTACTTCTGACACGAAAGTACAATAGCTGTTTCCTGGATCCTGGCCTAGTTCCCTAGTTCATATATTATTCTTAGGAGTGCCCAGAAAATTGGCACTGACTGGAACATCTGATGCATTAATCCGAGCTTGTGGAAGTGAGGTGGTACAATACAATCTGTGTCCTACCACTGAAGTCACACGTGCAGCCTCTTGCCAATAAAAAGGGCACATCAAGCGAGCCTCCGTAAATGGCAAAAACATGTGAGCCTCATGCAGATGAGAGGTGGGTTGGGACCTTGGGGACCCGAGAGGGGGTTGGGACATAGTCCCCTGGGGTGTATTTGACCACACAGTCGTAGATGCGACCACCCAGGAAATCAGCCACTTCCTTGTGCTTCACCTGTGGAAGATATTCGGGAGGAAAGATGAGAGGCATGAGGGGAGGGACTGCATGAGAAGGAAGAGGTCGGAGAGAGAAAAAGAGACGATGGTGGTTGGGTGGAGAGCAAGGAACAAGTAGAGAACAAGTGGAGGCGAGGTGAAGGGAGAGGGGGTTCTTCGATGGAAGGGAGGGGGGGTGTTGTCTGTTTCAAATGGGGAAGAATAGCAGGTTGAGGCATGTGCTTCATGCTACCAGTGTCATGCCACCAGTGCCACAGCACATGCCACCAGTGCCACAGCACATGCCACCAGTGCCACAGCACATGTTACCAGTGACACAGCACATGCCACCAGTGCCACAGCACATGCCACCAGTGACACAGCACATGCCACCAGTGCCACAGCACATGCCACCAGTGCCACAGCACATGCCACCAGTGACACAGCACATGCCACCAGTGCCACAGCACATGCCACCAGTGCCACAGCACATGCCACCAGTGCCACAGCACATGCCACCAGTGCCACAGCACATGCCACCAGTGCCACAGCACATGCCACCAGTGCCACAGCACATGCCACCAGTGCCACAGCACATGCCACCAGTGACACAGCACATGCCACCAGTGCCACAGCACATGCCACCAGTGCCACAGCACATGCCACCAGTGCCACAGCACATGCCACCAGTGACACAGCACATGCCACCAGTGCCACAGCACATGCCACCAGTGCCACAGCACATGCCACCAGTGCCACAGCACATGCCACCAGTGCCAGAGCACATGCCACCAGTGCCAGAGCACATGCCACCAGTGCCACAGCACATGCCACCAGTGCCACAGCACATGCCACCAGTGCCACAGCACATGCCACCAGTGACACAGCACATGCCACCAGTGCCACAGCACATGCCACCAGTGCCACAGCACATGCCACCAGTGCCACAGCACATGCCACCAGTGCCACAGCACATGCCACCAGTGCCACAGCACATGCCACCAGTGCCACAGCACATGCCACCAGTGCCACAGCACATGCCACCAGTGACACAGCACATGCCACCAGTGCCACAGCACATGCCACCAGTGCCACAGCACATGCCACCAGTGCCACAGCACATGCCACCAGTGCCACAGCACATGCCACCAGTGCCACAGCACATGCCACCAGTGCCACAGCACATGCCACCAGTGCCACAGCACATGCCACCAGTGCCACAGCACATGCCACCAGTGCCACAGCACATGCCACCAGTGCCACAGCACATGCCACCAGTGCCACAGCACATGCCACCAGTGCCACAGCACATGCCACCAGTGCCACAGCACATGCCACCAGTGCCACAGCACATGCCATCAGTGCCACAGCACATGTCACCACCAGTGCCACAGCACATGCCACCAGTGCCACAGCACATGCCACCAGTGCCACAGCACATGTCACCAGTGTCGCGTACATGTCACCATCCAAACACTGAGGGTCAGCTCACCATGCCAATGTTGAGCTTGTCACATGTCATTAGCGCATGCAGATTGGTCTCTATGGCACGACCCTGTTGCGCAGGGGAAGAAAATTGAGAACCGAAAAGATGAAGGGAAGGATAGGTAATAAGAGCTGCAGACACATGCTGCCACCCATTAGTCAGAGTTGACATTCACAGTCGCATCACTCCACTACACGGATTCCAAGGCCCAACTCAAAAAGAGCTAAATGATACCATGCATGTGTGCATCACATACCATGCATGTGTGCATCACATACCATGCATGTGTGCATCACATACCATGCATGTGTGCATCACATACCATGCATGTGCGCATCACATACCATGCATGTGTGCATCACATACCATGCATGTGTGCATCACATGCCATGCATGCGTGCATCACATGCCATGCATGTGTGTATCAAATGCCATGCGTGTGTGCATCACATACCATGCATGTGTGCATCACATGCCATGCATGCGTGCATCACATACCATGGATGTGATGTGTGCATCACATGCCATGCATGTGAGTGCATCACATACCGTGCATGTGTGCATCACATGCCATGTGGCATAAGTGCATCACATACCATGCCCTCCATAATGACCAGCTCAGCATCTTCAGCAGCAAATGCCAGCTCAGGAGATATGTGCGCCAGGTCAGCAACCTGTGCAAGGGAAAAAAGGGGGGGCCAGAGGAGTGGATGAAAACACAAGAGAGGAGCGAGGATGGAGAAAGTGCAACACGAAGGTTAGGGTAAAACAAGAGAGAGCATAGATGCGGTATGTGACAAGAGAAAGAACGGAAGGCATTGTGTGAAGGCGATAAATCAAGGATTCTGCTTAAGAGAAAAAGGCTCACAGGAACATCACTGCCTGAGTTGACAATAAGAAGTCGCCCGCTGTCGATGCCTGCGCTTATAGTCTCGTCCTCTACTGTCACTTGCACCTGACGTTGGGATGCATTGACAGACGGACAGAGAGTGTTGAGAGGATAACGGATAGAAATTGTCTATATCCACTGCTGCAATGCATATACTCAGCTGTTGATAGACTCAGCTTCAACCAGGGCAAATAAGGAAGCATAGTTCAGTGTAAACCACCAAGAACCATAAATTGAAGGAACGTCGTTACAATCAGGAATGGCTTCCCAACATCAGAGAGACCAACCCTTTCCACATTACAGGCAACACACACCTTTTGGACAAGCGACAGGAGTTCGTTGTAGGTGACATCATTGATGGAGGGCATGTCATTAGCCGCCACCACCACCTGTGCGCCTTGCCTCACCAGCTCCCTCACCAGCGGCAAAACTCCCAACACCAGGTCTGCTCCCGAGTTGTCGCAAAAGACCACCACCTGAGGGGAGTGAGGGCAGTGTGGTGATGGAGGCGATTGAGTTGGGGAATTGAGGAGTGAGTTAGTAAGAGCGTTGCAATCACACACCTGCTCTGCCAAACCCCTGCACACTCACCTTCTTCCACGTGCGGTCGAGCCACGCCTTCTGGAACTCAGCCACGTGGTCAAACACCCACGGGCGCGGCAGCAGCTCCTGAAAGCTCTTTTCGAACGACAGCCCCTCGCCCTCCACCAACGCTGCGGACTGTGCAGATAGGTTTGGGGGGGAGGGCAGAAGGGAGTGCGGAGGTTACACACTCAGGACAGCAGCTCCTGGAAGCTCTTCTCAAACGACAGTCCCTCGCCCTCCACCAGTGCAGACTGTAGTAGAGAGGGGTCGTGCGGGATGGGGGTGAGCGAGAGAGAAGGGAGAAACGGGAGGGGCGAATGCGAAGAAGATTGATGGGAGGACAACAGAAGCAGCTGCTCAAAGCTCTTCTCAAACGACAGACCCTCGCCCTCCACCAGCGCTGCGGACTGTGCAGATAGGATTGGGGTGGAGGGCAGAAGGGAGAGCGGAGGTTACACACTCAGGACAGCAGCTGCTGACACCTGTTACACTGTTACGATGTTACACCTGCTACAGGGTTACAGAGTCACAACTCACGTTGTTGGCGCCCAGGTCGAAGATGTTTCCAGCCAGCACGCCCTTAACCAGCAGCTCTATCCTCTCTTTAAGGTCCTCCACCGCGTCGATTCTCTTCAGCGTCGCCGGCAGCATCGCCAGCGCCTTCTCGTTCTCCTCCGCCTGGGTGGGGTCCAGGGTTTGAAGTTTCGGGTTTGGGGTTGTTCAATAGGGTTCAGAGTTTAGAAAATATCAGGGTTTCAGAAAGTGGGGCAGGGGAGGGAGGACACATGGGTACGACAGGGAAAATGAAGGGGGAGAGGTTGGTCACCCAACACCTTTGCATACGCTATTGAGGCTATTCAGTGTGTGGATCCACTTTAAACCGTATCACACCATCCTGCACTGCACCCATACGTACCTTGGTCTTCTTGAAGATGTCTTGGAAGCCAGCCTCTGTCAAGCAGACCTCCCTCAGCCGGCACAGATTCTGCAACGGGCGGCAGGAAATAGGAGAAAGTTCACAGATTCTGAGGAGCCAAAGGAAAACAACACATCGCACCCACCCACTACGAGTTGAGAGGGCCTTCCGAATATCTAAGAACTAGTTGCATGCACATTCAATCTGCCAGTGTATTCATCTAATCCATTGGCAGATGAGCATTCTACTCACTACTGGGTTGGGAGGGCCTCCGTGGCTGCTGGGGTCCTTGGCAAAATCATCGAGGATTGCTGTGTACCTGAGCATTAGGGGGGAGAGAGAGCATGGGTTAGGGTATGGAGGATGGATTAGCAAACGGATGGTGGGGTGGTGGAGGAGAAGGAAATGGAGGAGGAGGAGGAGGAGGAGGAGGAGGGGGAGGAGGAGGAGGAGGAGGAGGAGGAGGAGGAGGCGGAGGAGGAGGGGGAGGAGGAGGAGGAGGAGGAGGAGGAGGAGGAGGAGGAGGAGGAGGAGGCGGAGGAGGAGGGGGAGGAGGAGGAGGAGGAGGAGGAGGAGGAGGAGGAGGAGGAGGAGGAGGAGGAGGAGGAGGAGGAGGAGGCGGAGGAGGAGGGGAGGAGGAGGAGGAGGAGGAGGAGGAGGAGGAGGAGGAGGAGGAGGAGGAGGAGGAGGAGGAGGAGGGAGGAGGAGGAGGAGGAGGAGGAGGAGGAGGAGGAGGAGGAGGAGGAGGAGGAGGAGGAGGAGGAGGAGGAGGAGGAGGAGGAGGAGGAGGAGGAGGAGGAGGAGGAGGAGGAGGAGGAGGAGGAGGAGGAGGAGGAGGAGGAGGAGGAGGAGGAGGAGGAGGAGGAGGGAGGAGGAGGAGGAGGAGGAGGAGGAGGAGGAGGAGGAGGAGGAGGAGGAGGAGGAGGAGGAGGAGGAGGAGGAGGAGGAGGAGGAGGAGGAGGAGGAGGAGGAGGAGGCGGAGGAGGAGGGGAGGAGGAGGAGGAGGAGGAGGAGGAGGAGGAGGAGGAGGAGGAGGAGGAGGAGGAGGAGGAGGAGGAGGAGGAGGAGGAGGAGGAGGAGGAGGAGGAGGAGGAGGAGGAGGAGGAGGAGGAGGCGGAGGAGGAGGGGAGGAGGAGGAGGAGGAGGAGGAGGAGGAGGAGGAGGAGGAGGAGGAGGAGGAGGAGGAGGAGGAGGAGGAGGAGGAGGAGGAGGAGGAGGAGGAGACCTCATCAAGTAGGATGAGTCATTGCAAGGATTGCCAATGTGCATATGGATTGACAATGAGATGGGGTCTTAGAGGAAGCAGATGGAATGGAGAGAGCGGGTCATAGCAGGGTCGGAGGAGATAACTGGGAGGCAAGGAAGCAAAAGGCACGAACGAACGAATGATGACTGAATGACTGACTGAGAGACTCACTTCTCTTCAAAGACCTTTGCCTTCTCAGCAGCGTTCTCCACAGACTCGTCACCAGCTGCCCGCTTCCTGCGCACATGGAATGGATCACAGAAAGGAAAAAACGCAGCAAATAATATTCAAGGCGCCTACAAAAAAGTCGTTGAAAGGTGTGCCTGCCACCGGCTGCCCACTTCCTGTGCATATGGAAATCACATGAAGGAGATATGAAGCAAGAAAAGAGCATTCACGTCCTATCTAATAGCAGCTGACAGGCGTAGGGCAGATGGGGGGGTGACAACATGCACTCTACGGCTCAGGGTTTGGAACTGACAGTAGAGATGAAAGAACCACTGTGAAGAAAAGGAGGGTGAGAGGAGGCGAGCAGTGGCAGCAGCAGCAGCAGCAAAAGAATGCACTCGAAGGGCTTGATGCTGCTGTTTCTGTGGCAAGTCGTGTTCGACGGCGCCTGGAAGGCAACGTATAGCCCCCTCACACATGACAGTCAAACAGACAGCACGACTCACCCGAAGGGTTCAATGCTGCGGCGGAAAACGTCAATCCACGTGGTCTCAGTGTCAGTGAGCTGACCAGGAGGGTCCTTGGCACTGCGGAAGGGGATGGCCCAGGGGGTGTAGGCCTCCGCGCTCAGCAGCAGCGGGAAGGGCACGAGCGTGGATGCAGGGATGGCAGCATGCGGCGCTATTGAGTCTGCGTCTACTTCGAAGCTCTCAGAGATGGCCGGGGCCTCCTGGTCCTCCGCCTTGAGCGTGCTGAGCTTCAGTCCCTCCTTCTTGACTGCCAACATGGCTGCATGGGGGGAGGCGAGTGTGGAGGAGAAAAAAAAGAACAATGGGAGAGATTTTAAGCTCTCGGGATTGGCTGGGGCCTCCTGGTCCTCCGCCTTGAGCGTGCTGAGCTTCAGCCCCTCCTTCTTGACTGCCAACATGGCTGAACGGGGAATGGAGAGGGGGAAGGGAGGAGACAGAAGGGACGAGGACTTAGAACGTGGTTGGGGCTTTTTGGTTCTTTGCCTTGAGTATGCAAAGCTTCAGGCCTCCTTCTTGGTTGCATAAGGGAAGAATGATTAGAAAAAAAAGAGGATACACTCATACTCGTAACAAATTCCCCTCCACGCAGTCAATTCAGTGGCTTACTCAGGCCAAAAATGCTGGTTCAAGGCCGTCTCGCTCTGACTATTGACTTGTATACAAAAGAGGGGTATGAAGGCGCGAAACGAAAAAAAAAAAACGCATAATGGAAGCGACACCTAAGAAAGATCCCGGTTTGGCGACCAGTGCCAGCGAAAATGTTGAAATGAGTAGCTGTCTTGACTCTGTCACTCAACATAGGACGAGAAGAATTTCGGGTGCGCATTCCGACACTGAGAGGACGCAGCTGCGATGAAATACGTGTATCGTATTTAATATCCAACGTCCTAGATGAGAAAGTAGCCCGCGGAAGCGTACGTCTGACATCCAGCATTGCCTTCTGAGACGCCTCAAGTTTCGTACGTCCAGCATCTAGCATTCGCATGAATTCCCATCGACCGTGAATGTCCGGCATTTCCGGGACAAGGACGTGGCATTACCGGCAAGATCCGTAATTCATAACAGATTCTTAGAATTCATTGAAATTAGACCAGAACACGCATTTTCTAGGTTGCTGATCAAAGAGCCTGCGTACTGAGGGGAATGAATCCAGCAGGAGACGGAATACGAGATAATAGTATCCTTATAAGGTCGTTCAGTGTGAGAAGAGTCGATTGTTTTTGGCGAGAGATCCACACCGTTGCTCCTTAGATTTGGCATACGCAATAACGTTCGATTTCATGAATGCATTCAAATGCTATATCCACATTGCTAGTTGTCTGACATTTATCCATCCCTCCTGAACCCGAAGAGCAGACGTACCTCCGATGTTTTAAATAACAGGGCCTGATGAATTCCGCGAAATTAATCGGAACAATGTCGAGTAGGAGGCAGCAGGCAGCGTCAACTGCGCCTGGAGAGAATGGCAGGCGAATTCGGAAGGTCAAGAATGGAGTGAACAGAGGACCCCTGACTGGTGGAGGCTTTCGAGGGATCTCGGATACTTGGTGATGGTGTGGGGGGGCTGATCTAGCAGCTCGTTGTCAATCCCTGTGGTGTTGGAGACAACTACACTTCAAGGGTTTGTAACACCCCTTAACATTAGAAGGGACAGTTTTGCCATAACTGGAAGTGAATTGTCGGGCGAAGAACAGAGAGCAATGTTGGAGAGAAATTATTGTAATAAGAAGAATTAGAGTTTTAATGAATAATCCTTACAAGAGCTGAATTATGAAAATAGTTTTTGTTGGAGTATGAAAGGAATTGACTTAAGCATTCCTGTAGGTGCAGCTGTACCGCATCTGCACTATCGAAGCAGCACCAGCAGCAGTATCGGATCAGCCCGTAACAAGGGCAGGAAGGTCAACAGTCGCAAATAGCCCGACGACTCACCAGCCGAGAATGGCAACAGGTGTAAGCGTCTATACGGCTACACGCAGCGACTCATAACAAGAAGAAGAGCAATAGTAAGAGTCACTCTAGAACTGGCTGTAAAATGGTTGGAATATGGGAATGTACCCCTTAGGGCACATGGCTAGCTAGATCTATTTATTGTGTGTATCTTATTATTTTAATCAATCTTGTCATTTACATCCACTTGTCAAACTTATATATGCTATAGTCTGTTTAGGCTGTAGTGGGATAGTCCTTAGTGGGTACAACACTTTTGTGTTTGCTATTTGTACCCCACCTGTTTCCTAGTTCAACTCATTCCTCTCATTATTCTCACATGGTATAGAGCAGGTTCCCTAGTGGAACTGTTTTTTAGGGCCCACCACTACGAAATTTTTTTCCTTACCTGCCCGAAGCGCGTTTCGCGTTTGTCCTAGCAGCGCCCCGTGCGCCTGCCCTTCGCGGCCCTTCGCGGCCCCTCGCGGCCTTCGCGGCCCCTTAGCGGCCCTTTGCGGCCCCCTTCGCGGCCCTTCGCGGCCCCTTTCGCGGCCCTTCGCGGCCCCTCGCGGCCCTTCGCGGCCCCTTAACGGCCCTTCGCGGCCCCCTTCGCGGCCCTTCGCGGCCCCCTTTCGCGGCCCTTCGCGGCCCCTCGCTGCCCTTCGCGGCCCCTTGCGCAGCCCTTCGAGGCCCATTCGCGGCCCTTCGCGGCCCTTCGCGGCCCCCTCACGGCCCTTCGCGACCCTCTTCGGCGGCTCTTCGCGGCCCCTTCCGGCCCCTGCTGACGCGCCCCTGCTGGCGCGCCCCCGCTGACGCGCCCCTGCTGGCGCGCCCCTCTGCCAGCCCCTGCTGACGCGCCCCTACTGGCGCGCCCCTGCCGGCCCCTGCTGACGAGCCCCTGCCGGCCCCTGCTAACGAGCCCCTGCCGGCCCCTGCTGGCGCGCCTCTGCCGGCCCCTGCTGACGCGCCCCTGCTGGCGCGCCCCTGCCGGCCCCTGCTGACGCGCCTCTGCCTGGCCCCTACTGGCGCGGCCCCTACAGTCCCGGCCCGCCCCTGCACCCGTCTCTGGTAAGCCGAGCCGCGCCACCCAGCCGAGCCGCGCCACCCAGCCCAGCCGCGCCGCCCAGCCGAGCCGCGCCGCCCAGCCGAGCCGCGCCGCTCAGCCGAGCCGCGCCGCCCCCACCGAACCGCACTGCCCTACCGAGCAGCACTGCCTTGCACTGCTACTGCTGCTACTCTTGCTACTGCTCCTACTGCTGCTATGGCTAGTCCTACCGTTCTCACCTTTGATGCTGAGGGACGTGCAGTTGATTTTGACGTGTGGGTTGACGACCTACAGCTCTTTCTTCAGTGTGATTCTAGGGATGGGGTATCCCTTTTCGATCACACGTCCGGTGTTTCCACTGTTCCTGCTGCCACTGCTGACAGTACTGTTCGCTCGCAGTGGACCACTCGTGACGCTGTTGCTCGTCTTGCTGTTCGTAGTCACCTGCCGCCTGCTGAGCGCGCACACTTTGGCCAGTACAAGACTGCTCAGTCTTTGTACAACGCTGTAGTTGCACGCTACTCCTCCCCTGCCACTGCTGCCCTCAGTTGCCTTATGCTGCCGTACCTTTTCCCTGACCTTGCCGCCTTTGCCACAGTCGCTGACCTAGTTGCTCACCTTCGCACTAGTGACGCCCGCTACCGCGCTGCCCTTCCCACTGAGTTCTGTGCCAAGAACCCCCCCCCCCCATGTACATCACCCTTTACTACCTAGTCACCCGCCTCCCTGACTCCCTCTCTTCAGTCAGGGACCACTTTCTCTCCCTTTGCCCCACCGAGCTGACTGTCGACCTGCTAGAGGAGCGCCTTGCTACAGCTGAGAAGAGTATCTTAGCTGTAGGTGCTTCTCGCGGCGACCGTCGCACCCCCTTCTTTGAGGGGTGTTCCCCTGTTCCCCTTCTCCCCTCTGTTGCTTCTGCTGCTGCTGTCGACCTCGTTGGAACTAAGGAGGTCGGAGCTGCGTCTGCCCCTAGTGGGAGACGCCGCAACAGCAAGGGCAAGGGGAGCAAGGGTGGTGGAGGGGGCGGCGGGGGAAGCAGTGGAGGAGGTGGAGGCGGTGGAGGAGGTGGCGGTGTAGGTGGGGGTGGTACCGGGAGTGGGGGCGTCAGTGGCGGCGGTGGAGGTCGTGGCGGCGGTGGCGGAGGTGGTGGAGGCAGCGGCAGCGGTGGTGGAGGTGGCGGCGGCGGTGGTGCTGGGCGAGGTGCAGCAGCGCAGCGTGGAGGCTTTGGTGGCAGCCACCGCCAGCAGTAGCTGCGCACCCGTGAGACCCCGTCGGTTCAGCAGCTTCGTGAGTGGTACGCTGGGCGTGGGAGGTCTGGGAGTGCAGGTCCCTGCACTTACGTTCTTTGCACCGGCACTCGTAGTGGGGAGGTGTATGGGCTCCCACGCACCACGCAGCGCTGCTTCGGTCGCTTGACTGACGCTTGGCATACCCAGTTTCCTGACGCCGTTGAGCTCCCTCGCTGGCATGATCTGCTTCTGCAGAATGTGCCTATCTTTGATCTAGATTTTGATGCTATCCTTGCTGCCATGTATGCTTTTGCTGATAGTGCTGAGGGTGACAGTTACCTGAGTGTCCCGCCCGACCCGGGCATTGCGGCTGCTGCTCTAGGTGCTAGTGCGGCTGCTGCTCTATGTGCTAGTGCGTCTGCTGCTCCAGGTGCTGGTGCGTCTGCTACTCCAGGTGCTGGTGCGTCTACTCTCTCTGGTACTGCACCTACTGAGTCCTTGCACACTTTCACACTTGAATCTGGTGCTTCGCGCTCTTTCTTTAGAGACAGCACCACGCTCACGCCGCTCAGTCGGCCTGTTGCGGTCTCCCTTGCTGACCCCTCAGGGGGCCCAGTCCTTGCACACTCCTCCACGGTTCTACCGTGTCCTGCGGCCCCGTCGGGCTTGCTGTCGGGACTCCACCTCCCCTCGTTCTCTAAGAACTTGGTGAGTGGAGCTGACCTCCAGGACGCGTGGGTTGACCAGTTCACCCCTGGAGGTCAGCGTGTGACCCACTGCACTTGCTCTCGGACGGGCCGCCACCTGGCAACGTTCACCCGTCGGCCAGGGTCGAGTCTGTACACACTGACTACTGCACCTCCTCCGGTCCCTGCGTCTGGTCAGGTAGCTGCGTCTAGTCAGGTGTTTGCTGCCGCGTCCAGGTCTAGTCCTGCGTCTGCCCCCTGCTCGTGTCGTCCTCTGGCGCACGAGACTCTCCTTTGGCACCACCGCCTTGGTCACCCCTCCCTGCCTCGTCTTCGAGGTATGGCCTTCCGTGCTCTTGTCTCTGGACTCCCCAGGTCCCTCCCTCCCCTTCCTCCGGGGCCTGCCCCCACCTGTGTTCCTTGTGTCGAGGGCCGGCAGCGCGCCGCTCCTCACTCCTCCTCGTTCCCTCCGACTGAGGCCCCTCTGCAGACTCTTCACATGGACGTGTGGGGCCCAGCCCGCGTCCGTGGACAGGGTCACGAGCGCTACTTCCTGCTGGTCGTTGACGACTACTCGCGTTACACCACAGTCTTCCCCTTGCGCAGCAAGGGTGAGGTCCCTGAGGTGTTGATCGACTAGATCCGCGGTGCTCGTCGCCAGCTCAGTGAGAGTTTCGGCTCAGACCTTCCTGTTCTGCGTCTGCACTCAGACAGAGGCGGGGAGTTTTCCTCCGACCTCCTGAGAGCCTTCTGACGTTCGGAGGGCATCCGCCAGACGTTCACGCTTCCGGCCTCCCCGCAGCAAAATGGGATTGCTGAGCGCCGCATTGGCATGGTCATGGACGTCGCTCGTACGTCCATGATCCATGCGGCTGCTCCCCATTTTCTGTGGCCGTTCGCGGTTCAGTACGCTGCGCATCAGATCAACCTTCAGCCTCGTGTCTCCTTGCCGGAGACCACACCTACTCTGCGGTGGACGAGGAAGGTTGGCGATGCGTCCGCGTTCCGTGTCTGGGGATCTCGAGCTTTTGTCCGCGATACTACA